TTTTTGGTTTTTCTCCGGTACCGGGAACCGAACTCACGACCTTGCGCTTGCCAGGCAGGCGCTTTTGCCACTGAGCTAAATCCCCAGCCCCAGGTCACCTTTTTGATGTTTGTCCCAATAAAGATTCTTTTCAGCTTCCTCATCACCTAAAAGCGCACTTAAAGCAGTCTTCCATCCTCTTAGGCTTTTAACTAAGGCCAAATACACCTCATCTGAGGGTCTGGCTGAGTCACATTGCAGTTGCATTAAAATAAACTCCCTCACTGCCTGGATAGCACAAGGTCCTGAGTTCGATTCCAAGTACCAAAAAAGCTAACTAACTAAATAAATAAAATAAACTCCCTCAAAAGTTCAATTAAGCCAAGCCTCAAAGTACAGAAGATCAACATTCACCCATGGTGCTCTATGCTAGACCCCACTCTTTTAGTGTTCTTTTTTCAAGTCAGTTGCATCCTTGAGGACATCTCTTTGTCTTTCTAACACTGGTGTTACTGTTAGAATCCATCATCCTAAGGGGTATGTTTTATCTTCTCGACATTGATGGCACTCCTGGACTCCACCATCCTAGGGGGTAGCTTTGATCCTGCTCAGTCTAGTACACTCATGTCACAACCACAGGCACAGGGCCTTCCAAAGAGCACACATACAGTGAAGGTTTGGGGTCAATGTGCCCATGAGCAGAGGGGCTTCTTTATTGGCAATAAATTTCTCTAATATAATTGAAGAAACCAAACAGATTCAGGTATATATATATATTTTTTTCTAAAATAATACAAAACATGAAGTAAAAAGAATTAAAAAGTCAATTGTTCATATTTATCCTCATGTCTACTTCTGGACTCCACTTAACTTGATGTAAATTTCTCATAGATTTCCAAGGCAATGTCAAATCCAATGCTATAGTATCTTGTTTCATATCACAAATAAAATGAAATATTTCCCAGTTGATTTTACAAAGTTGCAAAAACTCTTATACTTGAAATCAAACAGCAAAATTCCCAAGTGATCAGAAATCACAATCAACCATTAATATCACAAAACTAAAAGTGCATGTGAAATCAATCTTATTGTTCAAATAAGATGTGAAAGCTACTTCAATCTTGTAAAAAAGGAACAAGTTTTCAAAACACTGTAAATAAAACACATGTCAATTTCCAAGGAATTCAAATAGAACAGACATCATGATGACATATACTGTTATTTCCCTGTGCTCCTCTGGCCTTTCACTATTTAGAAAGTTAACTTTCTCTACAAACACAGGCTGAAAAGTGGACATCATTTCACATGGGTCAGGAACTAAGGAACTGATGTGGCCATGAATACTCCCTGTTCTTGGCATGCACCTCATCCCCTCTGTGGCCCATACCTCATACATGGGCTTGCTCCTCTCTCAAAGCTTCTTCATATAGATGTGTGTAAGACCTGGGATCTCTCCTACAGATCATGGCTAAATGCTGTAGGATTTTCATCTTGCTGGTTTCAGCGTGGGCCCTTGGACCCCACAGGAACTCATAGCGAGCAGGATCACTATTGGGCACCTGATGATATTTCACATACTGTTTCTGTACCAAATCCTCAGTGATGAATTTCCAGGGCTCCCAAACAAGAAAGCGCTTCCACTGAGGTAACATCTCCCTCACTGTCATTACTTGCCACATGTCCTCCTCACTAGCACGGTTGCCTTTCATGAAAATGACAGTCAAGATGACTATCAGGAGGTCAATTTTAGGAATGATCTCTTCATCACCCAACATCCCATGATAAGTGAGACCCAACACAGGAATGAGTGCATATATGTGACCAGGGGGATCTATTTCTCTCACATCAATGCCACAGCCCAGACGCATGCACTTACAAGCTTCTCTGAAGATCTGAGGGAAGAGCTCCTTGTAATCCTCGTCAACATTGTGCAGCATTTCTTCCTTGGTGATAAGCTCCTTCTGTTGATATTTGAATAGTAAAATTGGTACTAACTTAGCTATCTTGTCATCTAGGACCACACGTTGCAGGCTCCGAGGAACTTGCACATCCTGCGAGCTACCTGCACCATTCTCATCTTGCCTACTGAAGCTCTTATCAGATTGGCTCTTTTGACTGAAGGCCATGGCAGTGGCGGGGAGTGACAACACTCTGGATTCTGGGGACAGGTAGGTGTCCCAGGCCAAGGAAGGCACTTCTGTTGGTGTGACCTAGACTCAAGTATAGGAAGAAGTGGTGGCAGAGGAAGCAGAGGCTTTGAGACAGTTCTCAGACTTGAGAACCTGCAAGTGCACCAGGCCCTGTGCCCCTCTTTGCACAGGTCAGACTTCAACTTGCTTGCTGCACTTGTTCTTCTGACTATGAAGATGTTCAGATGTTCCTTCAGGACAGCAGAGAATGGTGATGAGGACTCAGATGCCTGGAGGAGAGACAGAGCCTGTGAGTATTCTCAGCTGAGAACACTCTCGTTAGCTCTCAAAAAGCCCAATTTCTGGTCTTCTCTTTGGGTGGTGCTCGAGGGTCTTACAGGCTACTGTCTCTTGGAGGCACTGTCTCTAAGACCCTGGGACAGGAAGTGGGAATGCTCCTCAGGCTGCAGTTTTACCGCATAACACAAGCCGTAGGGCAGACAGCAGGGCAAGAGGGGCCTAGGCTCAAGGAATCCCTACTGTTCTTGGGAGATGGAGTCCAAAATATAGGTTCAAGGCACGGATATCAACTTGACTCCTGACACTGCCTACGCCTCCTTTTCTGTGTGAATTGTGAAAACTCTTCTAGACCAAGACCTCCACTTCTGAGTTCTTGGAGCTCTTGTAAGAGGCATGGAGGCCCCTCAGGCTGCAGACCACAAACACAGTCCTGCTCTTCCAGCTCTCACAGGAGGGGTGGGCTGGACTCTGTGAGGTGCACACCATCCTGTGTGATGGTCCCCTCTCTGCTCACTCTGGGTACACAACTGTCCTTGAGCAGGGCCTGGACCCCAGCCTTCTACAGGTCTGAAGAAAACTCTCACTGAAAATGTCTTCTTTCATGATAGAGAAGAAAAGGCAGTAAGGGGATGCACATTTGGCCACAGCTGCCTGGGGGCAATAGCTGAAGTTTGAAAACTTCGATGGGGTACATGCGCTACAGGATGGGAATCTGCTATGTCCTTATCTTGATAAACGGTTAGGTCTGGCACTCTCTGTAGGATGACCTGAGGCCACCTTCTTGAAACCACAGCCCTATCTCTGTGAGCCATTCAAAGAGGAAGTGAGTGGGAGCCAGTGTACTTGTGTTCCCTGGGTCTGATGACAGGTAACAGAAGGGAAGGTTGAGGCTAGCATGCTCTGTGTTCTGTTAAGGGGCTTCTTTTGCCCTCACCTAGACTCCTGACAGAGTCTGAGATCCTACTTTTGCTTTCCTGAGTCCAGGTCCCTTGTACCAAACCCTCACCTACCTGCGAGCAGTAACTCAGAACTGAGATAGATGCCTCAATCTCTTACAGATCTGCCTAAGCTTTCTGGGAAGAATATAGGTATAGGGTAGCGGTGGAGGACCCATCTCTCTGTGTTGTGTGTAGGGTGCCTTCAATCTTTCCTTAGAATGTTTGCTTTGACTCTTGGCAGATCTGGGCACCACTGGATCTGATGAGCAAATAGGGATCCCTATGCTAACTTGAAGATACCCTCCCATATCAAGTTCCTCACCTCCCTGAGATCTCCAGGATTCTCAAAAGAAGTGAGCAGGCACCCATCCCATAGCCTGCACATAGGGATTCCATGGCTAACAGCCGGACCTGTGCCCATTTCTTCTGAAATGAGGGAGCCCTATGTGCTTCTCTAGTTTCTCCATCTTTGTCTGGGCCTAACTTTTTCATCACCATCCCTCCAGAGAAGAAATGTCCTCACCTGCTGAGACCAGCATCTAATCTCTCTGATGACTGCCCATATCCCTGCCCATGGTAGAAGTGAGCATGCCATTTAGGATCTCCCAGGGTTGACCCAGTGGAAAGGAAAACTCTGTGGGTCTGTTGTTTTGGGGCTGAGGATACCCTCAGTCCTCAGGAAGGGTACATAGTTTAGGCCTGTCATCTCTTGAGGGCCCTTGGCTGCCTTGTGTTTACCACTTGGACCAAGGTCCTTACCTCCCTGAGCGCACCCACTTGCAGCCATTTAGCAGAATTGTGAGCAGTTCACATGCTGTCACCCTCAATGGGGGCTCCTGGCTAATAATAGGAGAAGCCAGGCTCTTTGGGGTCCCTTATTTTCATGGGTGTGGATTACCATCCTACCTTCTATGATGGAAAATGGGAGAGTTGTGAGTGGCAGCAATTCAGACGTTCCAAGATTTGGAATCCAGACTCTGGAAAATCACAACTAGGGGAGAAAAAAAGGAAAAAGAAAAGAGAAGTAAATACCTGAGAATCTGGAAGGAAATGACAGGAAAAGTCAAAACCACAGAGAATTAGATGAGACAGACTACACTGCAGAGAAGGGAACAAATCAGTCTGAACTTTCTCCTTTGCTCTTGGCTCTTGAGAAAGGGAATGAATATGCAGAACCGAATGGGAACCTGGTGACTTCAGGAGATGCCAGGGAGAGAAAGTGGTGGTTCAATGGGACAGTGGTTCTATGATTTGCAGGGACAGTGTAGAGTTCTGCTCCCTCAGAATCTTTACACAGCAAACAGCAGGGTGAGGGAGCCCTGTACAGACGCCCACCGTATCCTTGGAGAGTGCCGGGGTCCACTCTGTGAAAGGGTGGAGTGCTTGAACAGGGGTCTCATAACAGCCACGGGACAGCTTTACCCTCGGGTTCCCAGTGTTACCCTCCCACAGTGACTGAGTGAGAGAAACAGTGTGGACAGGAAGAGGATGGTGTGAGATGTCCTGAGAGGTTTGAGCTCTGCTGGGAAAGGAACAGGGCCTGCCTCCCATGGCCAGAAGTCAGGCCCAGCCTGAGTTGCTCTGGATTTGAAAGTCTCTGCTCTTGTTATTATTACTGTTATCATTACTACTATTATTATTGGTACTGGGAATTGCTGCACTTGTTATTCAATCCCTTGCCCTTCTGCCTGCATCCAGCACAGACCTGCAGTCTGGCTGCCTTCCTTATCTACTAGGATGAGCTGGGACATGCCTTGACTCTGACACAGCCACAGCCTGAGCAAAGCAGAGGGCCTCTGAGAAAATAGAGAATTGCTAGACTCCAAAATTCTGGATCACAAAGGAAACTATTCATTCAAAATCACAAACACATTTTTTTTTGTTTATTTCTTACTTTTTCACGCCTCTTTCTTTTCATTTTTCCTTATTTTTATTCTCCATGTAATTTCCCTTCTTCTCTCCCTTTTTCTGTTATCTTCACCTTTTCATCAGTTTTTTCTGCTACCTTTACCTAATTCAATAAACAGCCTTCTAGTCCTTAGGAGGATGCTTTGTACTACTTGTCGCTCCTCCTCCTCCCATCCTGTAGTTTCAGCTTTCATAGTTTTCTTTTTGAGTGCTCCCTTTCTCTGTCCTTATATCTTCACTAGTATAACCATTAAGCTTTATTACCCTTTTTTTTTTTTTGGTCTTTTTGAGACAGAGTCTTGCTATGCACTTCAGACTGGACTTCAATTCACTTTGTAGCCCAGGCTGGCCTTGAACTTGCAGGAATTCTCCTGCCTCAGCCTACCGAGTGCTGGGATTACAGGCATGCACCACCACGCCTACCTAGCTTTATTAATCTTTATATAGTTCACTGTAAAAAATTAGAGTTGAATTTTTTCTACCATTAGCTGTGCTATAGTTGTCATATTTAGCACATATTAACTGTATGTCAATATCTGGGTTGTCTTAATATTTATACTATAATTGTGGATTTCTACTCAAAGGTTAAAGGCCATACCTAATTCCACCTTACTGTATGTTAATATTTGCCTGACATTACCAGGGTCACATAACAGTTGTTATTAATAGGTTTTCCTTCTATGACAATATCCAGGTTACCTTTGTGATATTAGCAATACATGGAGGGGAAAATAGCATAAGCCACATACCCCAATGACTTGCAAGGATGACAGAAAAAGTTAGAAAACAGGTCAAAGATGTTTTTGCCAGGATTACAAAATAAAATATAACTAAACAGACAATGGAAATAATAGCCAAAATGATCAAGGAACTTTTAAAATACATTAATAAAAAGCCAGCTGATCTAAAAATGATTCAAAACAAGAATGGTTTAGCAAAGATGAGAGTCCTTGCAAAGTTTCAATTAGAAATCCAGGAGATTAAAAATTATATTGAACTATGGGCAGCAGATGTGAGCAATGTGTGGACAGAATTAAAAGACAGGGAGGCTTTTAAGGACCCACCATTCAAAGACACCTTAAAAGCCAAAAGAGAAATTTAAAAATGCATCCAACAGGTGCTAGATGATTCAAAGAAAACTAATCTAAGAGTAATTGGGTTAAGTGAGAAATATAAAGAGAGCACAGATGGCCTAAAAATCATGTTCATAGAAATAATAGTGGAAAATGCTCCAAATTTAGGAAAGATATAAACACCTAGAACTCCATATAGCCATGACCAGAAAAGAACCTCTCCATGTGACATATTGTGAAAATATCATCATTTCAACACAAGGACAAATCTTAAAAGCTGTCAGTTAAAAGCAGTGAATCACTTTTAAAGGTAAACCCATTAAAATAACAGCACAAATCTTAACGCAAATCTTAAAGTCCAGAGGGCTTGAGGTGAAATGTTTCAAACCCTAAAATATAACAATTTCTAACACTGAATTAAGAGCTAATAGTAAATGGAGAGATAGATTTTCAGCATATTGGGAGGGAATCAAGAGATGGAGAAAGGGGGAAAGAGGAGAGAGGGGAGGAACATCAGATAAAAAAGGAGCAAATTGAGAAGTGTGCGCAACACCAAGTTCCTATAAAGAATGCGATCTACACACACACACACACACACACACACACACACACAGTAAAACCTCAGTTTGCGATCATAATTTGTTCTGGAAATATGCTTGTAATCCAAAGCACTCGTATATCAAAAAGAATTTCCCTATAAAAATAATGGAAATGCAGATGATTTGTTCCACAACACAAAACTATTCATATAAAAACAATTACAATACTGTAATATACT